TTTTCAGTGATCTCTCCAGCTTTTGGTCCAGGAGCCCAACAGAGTTTTAGGGCTCATGGCCACTGGTCCCATCACCTCCTGGCAAATAGAAGGGGAAGAAATGGAGGCAATTAGAGATTTTACTTTCTTGGACTCCATGATCACTGCAGATGCTGACAGCAGCCACGAAATTAAAAGACACCTGCTTCTTGGGAGAAAAGCAATGACAAACCTAGACAGCATCTTAAAATGCAGAGACATCACCTTGCTGACAAAGGTCCGTATTGTTAAAGCTATGGTTTTCCCAGTAGTGATGTATGGAAGTGAGAGCTGGACCATAAAGAAGGCTGATTGCCAAAGAATTGATGCTTTTGAATTATGGTGCTGGAGGAGACTCTTGAGAGTCCCATGGACTGCAAGAAGACCAAACCTATTCATTCTTAAGGAAATCAGCCCTGAGTGCTCACTGGAAAAACAGATCGTGAAGCTGAGGCTCCAATACTTTGGCCACCTCATGAGAAGAGAAGACTCCCTGGAAAAGACCCTGATGCTGGGAAAGATGGAGGGCACAAGGAGAAGGGGACGACAGAGGATGAGATGGTTGGACAGTGTTCTCGAAGCTACCAGCATGATTTTGACCAAACTGCGGGAGGCAGTAGAAGACAGGAGTGCCTGGTGTGCTCTGGTCCATGGGGTCACGAAGAGTTGGACACGACTAAACAACAACAACAACAACAACAACAAATTAAAAAGTGGGTGCCAGAAAGCCTTAAACTTCCTGAATGTAAAGATCAATAGAAGCTTTATTTTGGGGTCAGGGTTAGGACAATGAATGATTCCAAGTTTCTGTTGGGAGTTGTTAGGACAGAGCTACAGTTTCCAGAGTTCTCTGGGAAGAGTGATTGCCTTTAAGCCACTCTGTGAATTGCACCTCTCAGCACCCCTAACAAACTACATTTCCCCCTTTGGGGAGAAGCCATGACTCTTAAACTGCTATCATAGTGTTTTGTCAGCTGTACACTTTATTCATTTATACACCGAACGTTTCTTCTACGCTGGCATCTGAAGCAGGTGGGTTTATATAAACCGACCATAGCAGTTTCTTTAAAAAAAGAACAGTGTAATGATGCTTAATAGACTGATTGATCTCACAACAGATAACGGTTGTGCTGAGGGTTGTGTAGCAGTGTTGCAACTCAGCAAATTCAGCAGTGTTTAGCATCTTGAGAGAGACAGTTCAGGGGGAAACTGTGTGTTGGCACATTGTGCTTTGACAAGAAAGAAAGAATGATCTGGGCCACTGCCTATATCTTGTCATATGGTTAGAAGGGAAAATAAAAAGTGTTATAGCCAGAGGAACAAAAACCGTAATTGTCCTGCAATATGTTATCATTATCTGGGACGCGGGTGGCGCTGTGGGTTAAACCACAGAGCATAGGACTTGCTGATCAGAAGGTTGGCGGTTTGAATCCCCACGACGGGGTGAGCTCCCGTTGCTCAGACCCTGCTCCTGCCAACCTAGCAGTTCGAAAGAGAAGAAGAAGAAGAAGAAGAGAAGAGTTTGGATTTGATATCCCGCTTTAACACTGTCTAAAGGAGTCTCAAAGCTAACATTCTTCTTTCCCTTCCTCCCCCACAACAAACACTCTGTGAGGTGAGTGGGGCTGAGAGACTTCAGAGAAGTGTGACTAGCCCAAGGTCACCCAGCAGCTGCATATGAAGGAGCGGAGACGCGAACCCAGTTCACCAGATTAGGAGACTACCGCACAAGTAGATAAATAGGTACCGCTCCGGCGGGAAGGTAAATGGCATTTCCGTGCGCTGCTCTGGTTTGCCAGAAGCAGTTTAGTCATGCTGGCCACATGACCCGGCAGCTGTACGCCGGCTCCCTCAGCCAATAAAGTGAGATGAGTGCCGCAACCCCAGAGTCGGCCACGACTGGACCTAATAGTCAGGGGTCCCTTTACCTTTATGTTATCATACTTAGCAGTTCACAATATAAAACGACTAGTTGTGCATGCATTTATATCCGTTGGGGAGGAGTCCAGGGGTGTTGTTAGGCATTTAGCCTACTTGGGACATAGGCCTGTAGGCAGGAATTTGCATAAAAATTGCAAATGCAAATTTATATGCCTTTTCACGAATGCAATCGCAGAGACTCCAGTTCAGTTTCACCTCCAGATTTATTGCCCATCCAGAAACAGGGGTGAGTCATTGTGCGGGAGAAGAGAAAAAGAGAGTTATTCTGCATCCTAACTTCCTTCAATTACTGATGCTGCCAAACTAGCTCGGTGGCATCTTATGCCACCAGAAATGCAGCTGTCACTAAAATTCACCCTGTAGGAGTCAATGGGAGGGCAGAAAACCAAGGTTTACACTGCCCCTGCCAAGCCAGGAGCAGCTTGTTTGTTTGTTTGATTTTAAAGCATTTAATATTGACAAAATGGCTAAGAGATGTAGAAAAAATAACATAGAAACCATAGAAGAATATAATAAAAACAGAGATATAAATTGTGCGATTGGATATGATATGGGATACCTGTTGAAGGGAAGGAAGGAAGTCGTAAGCTCGGCAGAGCAAAAGGTTGTTTTGTGTTTGTTATTGTAATGTTGGAAATGTTGTTTAAAGGAAAATAATAAAAATTTAGGGGGGGGGGAAGAATATAATAAAAACAGGAAGCCGGAAAACAGGAATTCAGGAATTCAGGAATAGAAGAACTCAGTTTTGGGTCAAGCAAAGCCTGCCCCCAAGAAGTCTTTGGTAGATATCTGAAACAGCTATGTTTTGACAGAGAGAACTGCGTTTCAGAGAACAGGGGCAATGGCAGAAAATTTTTGGATCACCAGCTTGTGACATTCCACAGGGTGGGATGCCACAAGTAATCTCCCCCTATCCCCTATATAATCAGTAAGGCAAGTGATCAACAAGTTGTTGAGCTTTTTTTTTTACAGAAATGCCAGAAAACCACTGTGATTTTAATTGCCGAAGAACCAGGACAAACCGCTGTCTTCCACCTTTGAATTCCGGATGTATGGCAGTCCTAGTGTTAGTGGCAAATTCAGAAGTGCAAGATCCCTTCATGATAGTCACCTTTGCACAGCCACACCTTAGTTTGTCTGGAATTCTGTTGAGCAATGACTGCAAGATGGGAGCATGTATTTTTGAGGTTAAGCAACAATAAATTGCAGCAAATCTCACGTACACACACTCAGAACAAAAGGGTTTATTTTGGCAAAGGAAAGCAGCTTTCAAAAGTTTCAAGCATGCACCCAAGAAGTAAAAAAAAGAGTTGCAGGGTAGAGACTTAAATGCATGGAAATGACACCCCCCCCCTTTCAACATACCAGTCTCCTTACCAAAGTAATAGCAATTTGCCTTCAAATGAAACCCATTTCAAACACTTCTCTGAAGAATGGAGAATAGGAGGAAGCAGAAAACAGAGTTTTTGGAGAGCCCGCAGTGTTCTTGGCAGTGCTTTTAGCAAAGGGTATTTTGGTACAAAACTGCCTAAGAGGAACGTCTTTGGTATTAGGTTCATCATCTTAGAAGGCAATCAGCAACAGAACTTTGCAACCGTTTCCAGATAACAACAGCATGTGGCTTCCCTTGCTCCCAGGAATCCTGAGTGCTGTAGTTTATCCCCTCCTCCTCACAGAACTACAATTCTCAGTGCTCATTCTACAGTTCCCAGGATTCCAGGGGGAGCTGTGTGCTTTAAATGCACAGTGTGACAAAACAACATTCCAAAAAACCACACACACACACACACACACACACATGTACACACACCAACATCAGGGCCGTCTTGCCCATAGGCGCTAGGGGTGTGGGGCACCCGGGTGCTAGGCTCTCAGGGGCGCCAGGCTGAGAGTCCGAGGCCCGAGAGTAGAGTCCGGGGAAGAGCCTGCCTGTCGGTTGGAGCGCTGTGGTGGGCTCTTCTGCTGCGGGCGGCTCTGTGCCACGGGTTCGGCGGTGACCGAGCCAGGAAGACGCTGAGGCGGCCGGCCGGCTCCGCCCTCCTGCACGCCTGGGACTGGGCAACCTGGGGACGGGGCGGGGGCGCCGGGCAGATCTGTGCACCCCGGCTTTATGTGGGGCTGCTTTTGAAGGTGACCTGGAAACTACAACTAATCCAGAATGCAGCAGCTAGACTGGTGACTGGCAGTGGCCGCTGAGGCCATATAACACCGGTCTTGAAAGACCTACATTGGCTCCAGTACATTTCCGAGCACAAATTCAAAGTGTTGGTGCTGACCTTTAAATCCCTAAACAGCCTTGGTCCAGTATACCTGAAGGAGCATCTCTACCCCCATCGTTCTGTCCGGACGCTAACGTCCAGCGCCGAGGGCCTTCTGGCAGTTCCTTCACTGCGAGAAGCCAAGTTACAGGGAACCAGGCAGAGGGCCTTCTCGGTAGTGGCACCCGCCCTGTGGAACACCCTCCCTCCAGATGTCAAAGAGAACAACTACTACCAGACTTTTAGAAGACATCTGAAGGCAGCCCTGTTTAGGGAAGCTTTTAATGTTTGATGCATTATTGTATTTTAATGTTTTGTTGGAAGCCGCCCAGAGTGGCTGGGGAATCCCAGCCAGATGGGCGGGGTATAAATAAATTATTATTATTATTATTATTATTATGACAACCCTGACCAACATAGAATTGTAGAGTTGGAAGAGATCCCCAAGGGTCATCTAGTCCAACCCTCCCCACAATGTAGGAATGCTGGAACATATTTACCTTTACCTTACACACAAATATCCACCCCAACTCCCCCCCCCCGAAAAAAAAAAAAAGGCGCTCGGGACTCGAACCGGCGGTTCTCCCTCCTCCCCATCCCTGCCAACATTCCTCTATGGGGAACTCCCGCTCCCCCTCCCGGCTCGCCTACGCAACTGCAAGGGGCGTCGCTTCCCTCTCTCTCTCCCGCGCGCCCGCCTCTGCAGGATTCAGTTCCGACAAGGAGGAGGAGGAGGGAGAGAGAGAGAGGGAGAAAGGGGGCGGGGCCGAACGCATCACCCCAGGGGGCGTGGCCCGGGCGCCGCGCGACGGGCAAGAACGGCCGGCCAGGCGCGAGGAGAAAGGGGCTGCTGAGGGAGGGAGCGAGCGAGAAAGCGCGGGAGCGAGCGAACGTCTGTCCTTGCCTCTCTCTCTCTCTCTCTCCCGTTGAGGAGTCGCTCTCTCTCGCGCGGCTGTTTTGTGTGTGTGTGTTTGTGTGGCGGCAGTAGCAACGCTGCGGCGCCGCCTCTCGCGGGTGGCGCTGTGGGTCGGAGGGAGGCAGGCGCTGAAGGGGTCTCATAGGGGTTCCGCTGTGGTTTCCCCCCCCCTCACCTTCCCCGTTCTTCCAGGGGGGGTGTGGGCAGAGAGGTTAGGCGGGAGAAGCGAGCGAGCGGGTGACGGGTGGCTGGTGGTGGTGTTAGATCCCTTGGGTGCCCTCTGTAGTTGGTCGTGAGGGGAGATCTCCCCCCCCCCAAAAAAAAACACTCGAAAGGGTTTTCGGGGGGCCTTTGTGATTTTTATATTTTTTTTTTCTGTGGGGCCGAGCAGCGCCTTTTTTGGGCGGGAGTCTTAATTGTGGGTTGCGCATAACGCCCCCCCCCCCCATCATTTAAGTCTTCTGAGGAACAGAGCTGAGCTTTATTTCGGGGAGAGGGGATTAGACAAGACGCCTTATGTGTGTGTATGAGTCTCTGGAGTAAGAGACCCCCTCCCCGCCTGCTTGTTTTGTTTTGTTTGAGGGAGGGTCCCCCCATACTTTGCCTAGGAAAAAAGCAAATCTTATCTCGGAGCCCATTTATTTGGGGAGAGAGGGGGCGGGACACTTAGCCAAAGAAGACCTTTTGACAGAGATCTTTTTGAAGGGCATCTGGTTTTTTTGGGGGGGGGGGTCCCTGCTATAAGTAGCATCATGGAAAACTCCTGAGGGACCTCGCAGGTCCCTTCTGTTATCCTTGCAGAGTCTTTGGAAAAGAGAGAGAGAGAGGCTTCTGGTCTGTGTCTTATTTCTTTTGCAGGGGGGAGCTGATTTGGGGGTTGTTTTTTTCCAGTTCTCTGGTTTCTTGCAAGGAGCTAGCTGGGATGTAGGAGGGTTCCAGAGGCCTAGGCTTTTGCAGTTAAAGCCTGTGATTCTCCCCATTATTATAAGGTAGGCTTGTCCCCTGCACACACACATTCTACTTCCTGCTCCTGCTGCTGTTTTATTGACCTCACACCAGGGAAATGTCGGAGCTGAGGAAGAGAGGAGCTGGTGGAGATCATGAAACTGCAAACCTAATTGACAAGGTAAGGTTGAATGGGCCTCTTTTTCGTTTTACCTGTTTCCAGGTATGGGGACATGGAAGGTGTGAGCCCTGTCAGTTTCCGAGGAGGATACTTCGCATACTATTTCCTCCCAGCAGATTCCACCACCCTTTCTGCTTGGGGTATGATGTAAGCAGTTCTTGTTCCCCACGGAGGATTAAGAGTTGAAAGAGAGACGCTTCTTTGCTGTCTCCTCTTTCACTCGGTTATCATTTCACCTCTGGGGATATGCCTGAGTAATGAAATTTGGGGCAGGTGTTTGCTTACTTCACCTCTCTCTTAGGAAGTCACTCTTCCGTGTCACTGACACTTGACCGTCCTTTATCCTGCGGTGAAGGTGTGGGAAATTGAAAGTCATTCTCCCTTCCCCACACCTCTGCATTTTTAACATGTTCATTACTTAACAAGGTTGAGAGTATTCAAGGTGAATTGGTAAAGCTTAAAAATGTGGATATTGTGCACCGTTCCAGTTCTGCAGTAAGAGGCCCTTCTCTCTACCTGCAGTTTGCTCTCTGTGCAGAAGGTTGTTCTTTGCATCACTCCTCCCCTTGTTCTACGTTTTCACTAGCTATAGGATGTAAACAGCCGGTTCACTAATGCATTGACCCTGTGCATTGGAAGGAAGTAAAAAATAAACTGCTGAATTTGTTCTTGTTAGCTTGTTTCAACACCCATGTCAGGTTATATATTTATGGTTTTCTAACTGACAGACATTTGACTCTGGGCTCAGATATAATATTTCAAGAGGAGAAGCTGTTGTTGTTCGCTTAACCCCCTGCCCCCCCTTTCATGGATATGTGTGCGTTGGTTTTGTGCCTATTAGCCCTTAGGCAGAGGGGATGAAACAATTCATTAGCAGTTGTGTTTTTGCCTTACATAAACTGTATGTGATTTTAAGTACTGAAACGTAGGCTTTAAGAAGTATGTGTCATTCCTATGACTGAATATTAAAGCTGACACTATATAATGCATAATAGAGGCATCTTAATGAAATAATAATGCCAAGATTTTAAATATGTCTAGACTGTATATGTATGCTTTGCCAAAAAATGCACCATTCTTTTAGTGCTAGGAAATAAATGGAAATGGGTGAGCCCAGGTTTTTTTTGCCTTTTAAATTCTAGCAGAACTTGGAAATGAAAGGTAGTGGTATTGTCAGTAAACTCAATTGTTTTAGGCTGCTGAATACACCTGAGCAAGCAGGCCAGTTTTTCAAACTTTCTAACTTCAGGAAGTGATGGAATAAAGAGAGAGAGAGAGAGAGAGAGAGAGAGAGAGAAATGGATCCTGTTTTCAAGCTCATAAACTTAAAACAGAAGGCATCCAAGAGAAGGGGACTGGAGGGAAAGGTTAGAATAAGATCACTTCTTCAAAGATGAAACAAAATGGTATCAGTCAGGCTGATCTTCCCGTATTGGGCTGATCTTCCCTTACTGGTGTTTGTGCTTGAATAGCAGTTGCTTGCTCTTGTTCCTTTGGCTGAAGGATGAGGCTGGAGTTGCCTTTCCCCTTGCTTTTTTTCTACATCTCCAGGGCAACTGACAGTTGGAGCAGTGTGTTCTTTCAGGGGGTGGGGGGAATACAGGTTCCCTGTAGCTGTTCTGTTTCTGGCCAGTGAATGGGGCCAAGATGGTCTGCTCCTTGCCATAATGATCTTCTTGGGATGCGTAGGGAGCAGCTTCCTCATGGCTCTTGGTCTCATACCTGATGACAGAAGGCAGAGTATCCTGCCTTTCAGCTCTACAGTCCCAGGTCCATGGGGCAGGGATGGTGCTGGAGAGAAGTAGCAGTGACTATACTCTCTCGAATTTTGTATTATGCCATGCCTGTCATGGCAGCCATTTTCTGACCACTGCCTGCGCCACTTTTTGACTGCTGGTCAAAAAAGGTTGGCGACCCCTGTTTGACGTTACCCACCACTCTCCAACACAAGAACCTTCATCTATCATAAACAAAACCTTACGGTAATTGTGTGTTAACTTTATTGTAAACTTGTTTGCATGTATGCCTGATGTTGGAAAGAGCACACTGCATCCTGGGGGCAGCAAAGAAGTCCTTCATTGGCACCATAATCTCTGTAACACTGGGCTGGCAATCCCTGATCCTTTGGTGCATCTCCTGTTGCCTTGTGTGCAGTGCCTTTTTTTTTTTAATGGAGTATTCAGTCATGTGAATCTTGACCTGCAATCTGAAGTGATATAGCCAAGCTAACAAGCTAATAGGCTTGCCATCAAATCTGCTGCTTGAGATAACTAGACATGTTGAGTAACTGCAGTAAACTGGCCAGCCTCTTTATTACTGCATTTTTGCCATCTTCTATGAACTAAGTGAGAATCTTGTATGCTTATTTGTGTTCATGAAGGGGATGCTAATTTCTCCTAGTTCAAACACCTGTTGAAAGTTGTTCTGTAGAGTCTCCCAACCTTCAAGAATTGATTCTTGGAGTAGTTTTAAAAACAACAACAAAATATACCGGTAGCATGAGTTAGAAGGAGCATGAGTTTCTGCCCTTTGCTCCTGCCTTTGGGTAGGGTTGTGAAAAACATGCTGTTAGTGCACTTTAAAACCCTGGGTTTCTTCCTGTGGGCTTTCACCACCGCAGGCAAGGATAACGACATTAAAAATCAATCAAAAGCATCCAGGGGAAATCCCGACATGTAAGCAATGCAATCATCAGTCTTAATGTTTTAAAGTCTGTGAGCACCACAGGCACTTTTGACGTGTGGCAGAAGAAGAAAAGGAGCTGTGGGTGCCCTAGTGGCTGGGGAAACCCAGTGATAAGCCCTTCTAAGTACAAATTTTACCTCCACATCTGACACTGTCACAATTTTAGAGTTGAGCAGCAACACTTAGCTTTTTCATTCTGTTGAGATGTCATTTGTTAGCTGCTTGCTCACAAGGGATTCCTAGTGGAAGGGATTTCCTGGAAGGGAATTCCTGGTGGAAACCCAGCCAGATGGGCGGGGTATAAATAATAAATTATTATTATTAAATTATTATAGTGGAAGCTGCCAACCTTGTTGTCATCAGTGGCTCCTCTGACAATGGTCTGGTTTCTCCCCGCTTCTCTTTATTGCTGCCACTTAAAGGTCCCTCTGAGGGGCTCACAAGGGTGAGCTACCTGCTAAGACCTCTGTTGAGTGAGGGTAGCTTTGCCCAGGCCAGGGGCTTCTGGCCACCAGGGGTAGGGGTGGGGGATATGGAGGAATGTAGCCTTGGTGTGTCAGGAGGTGGGCCAGTTATCTCTCAGAATTGAAAAGCATGCCCTGTATCTGAGCATGTGCAGAGTGCCTTCCCCCAGAATTACTATGCAGTCGCAGCCAGCCCCCACCCCAGCAGAGTAGGGCAAGGGACTATGAAGATCAGGGTCAGGGCTGTTCCCTTCTGTTGTGCTGACTTGGTGTGGCAGTGGGGAGAGAGATACTGTGAGCATTTAGGTTGCAGCAGCTGGGACCATTCACCCTGATCCATTTACAGTTGGAGTTGCTAGCTGTCCCCCCCCCCCCCCAATTGTTAGACTACAGCTAAGAGCTGTTCTACAGTGGAATGGAGTCCTTCAGAAGGTGGTGGACTCGCCTTCATTGGAGGGTTTTGAGCAGAGGTTTGATGGCCGTCTGTCATGGATGATGAGATTCCTGCATTGCAGGGGGTTGTACTAGATGACCCGCAGGGTCCCTTCCAACTCTACAATTCTGTGAAATGCTCTGGTGTAGTTGTGGCTCTAGAGATCCTAGAGGGTAATGTATGTTGTTAAACAGCATGTTGTAATGTTTGATCTAATTACAAAAACAAATTAGTGAGCAATCCTGTGAGCCTGGGAAGGAGAAATTTGCAGCTGAGCAGTTATAACAGCATGGCAGTAGCGAACAATGCTGTCCTGGGCAGTCATATGTTGTCCTGGACAGTGACCATTGCTACTGTTTGATGATGCTTGCAGTTGTAGCAGGTGCTTGGCAAGCAAAGTTTTGCTGGGCTACTGGGTTTGCCCTTGACTGCTAGGAATCCCTTGTTTAATGAGCAAGCAGCTAGCAAATGACATCGCAACAGAATAGAAAAGCTAAGTGTTGCTGCCCAACTCTAAAATTGTGACAGTGTTAAATGTGGAGGTACAATTTGTTCTTAGAAGGGCTTACCATTCCAGTTTGTGTGAAGGAAAGACAAAGGAAATATTTACTTGCTACTTATTATAATCCATTGGAGTCTCTTGCTTTATTTTGTATAAATAAGTTATCTTAAACCTATGAGCCTGGCAGTGTGCAGCTCTTCAAATTCTTGGAAGCAGTAGGGCTGGGAGTTAAATCTGGAGCTTTAGTCACACAACATGCCCTCTGCCCCTGATCAGCGACTCTTTTAATCATCTTCAGATTAATTGTTAAAGGCCTGGTTATAAAGTTTTTGCCTAGTGCCTAAATATATAAACTGATGGTACCAGGTGAGCCTGCTTTGGGAGAGTGTTCCACGAACAGTGGCAGCTTATGGAGAAGCAATGGGACATAAAATAAGGCAGCCCTCCCCAAACTATTGCCCTCCACATGTCTTGGACACCACCTTCCATCAGGCTGTGACACAAGTGAGGGAAAGGCGAAGGGGCTGAGAACAGCAGAGGCAAGAAAAATGGTGGCACAGCACAAAAACAGGGCTCTGCACACTTAAAAGGCTCCTAACATATTATTTTGCATTCTGCCACATACTATACTGCAGGGTGCCACAGCATCAGGCACAAGTGAGCAAAATGTACCATGCTACAAGTGCCTTCTCTGCAGGGTAAGAAATCCAGATGACTCATGCAAGTAAGCCATACCGCATGGAAAGCTTAAACTAATAATACTAACAATTTATACAGCGCACATGGAGTGACATGCAACATTATGTGAGGTGATTTTCACTTCCTCCCCTTCCCCCTGCAGTCCGTTCCACTTACAGATGGCCACAGTTGGCTGTCACCCTTAGTGTTCGAAGCATTTCACATGTATATCAATATGCATTCATCAGTCATTTTATTTGTATGCTACCTTTCCATATAGCAGCCCTTTAAAATAGGTTAGTGTCAGCTGCCTGTTGCAGATGAGGACTTGAGGCGATAAAGAATAGTAGTTTGCTCAAGTCTATCTAGTGAGTTTGTGCCTAAGGTGAGTTTTGAACCAGGGACTTCCTGGCTCGTACTACTAGGAACTGTACTACTACCAGATTTCTCTATAAAAATGAAAAGTGCCTCATAGTTTTCTAAACTTCTAAGTGGAATATGAATTTGATCTTAAGCATAAAACTAGTCTGTTTACTGAAGTTTCATAGTTTAGTTTTGTACAGGAAATTTTGCAGCTAAAATAAGTAATAGTGTATGATTATGATGTGTTCTGGGAACAGATTATTGGTCATAATGTGTCCAAGCTTTTTGTACTGATTTATGTTAAACCAAGAATGGGAAAACGGACCAAAATTGTTAAAATACTCATGCAGCCAATTATTTTGGCAGACATTTGAACCCTTTCATGCTTAAAATTGCTTTAGAAGTATTACTTTGCACTCTTATTTCTGTTTCTTTCTTTCTTTCTTTTTAATAGCCTTAGCATACTTTTTAATAGTACTCCACTGGCTGTTGAAGGAGCACCTTATGTCCTTAAACCAGGCATAGGCAAACTTGGCCATCCAGATGTTTTGGGACTACAACTCCCATCATCCCTAGCTAACAGGACCAGTGGTCAGGGATGATGGGAGTTGTAGTCCCAAAACATCTGGGGGGCTGAGTTTGCCTATGTCTGCCTTAAACCTTCCAGCTTTCTAGAATTATCAAAGTCATGCTTTCCTTATTTGTAAACCTAGCTGAACTCACTGAGACTTCATTTTGAGTAAATATTCATAGCATTGGGCTGTATGACAGCTAACTGTACTTGAGAAGGGCATAACTAGAACCCTGGAATAAACTAGAAAGTTACTTCAATGTGACACCCTTTAAATTCTAACAGATGTATTATGGTGTAAGCTTAAGTGGACTATATTTCAGTTGAGATATATGAACATTTCATGAAGTGGGCTCTAGTTCTTATGTAACAATATATTTGTTAGTCTTGAAGGAGCCACAGCAAGACTCTTTGTTCTACAGGCTACCCCTCTGGAATAAGTAAATACTTGGAACTTTAAACTAGGGCAGTTGCTTTCAGAATCCAAACTTCCAATCTCTGGCTTTGTGATGCATCTGGAAGCTAGAGGTATGCTGTGGTACAAGGAAAAAAATTAGAAGCGAACAGTTAAGATAGCAACAGCATTGTGACCTCAAAGAATTCAGTCTAAAATAATCAAGCAGAAGCTCAAACTAAAAGTTCTCATTCGTTTTTGGGATGTAGCTCAGATAATTGTAGAGTGGCAGGTGGATTATTTGAACAATAATATTACTAAAATATTTCACAAATTATTGGTTGGATTTGATTTAGCTGCTGAAATTGCGGAGAATGGTTTGGTTTTCTGTAGCCATGCAAGTGTTCTGTGAGAAGGTCTGCTGTCTTTGTCACATATTAGGACATTTAAAAAATATTGTGGATTTTAGGTACAGTCTCTTCAAGAGAGAGACTACTAATTCCTCATATCCATAGTTATATGGAGTACCAAGCTATAGTTTTCAGGATGGTCATATGTCTGCACTTTGCATTGTACGCTACTTTGATGGTCTAGTTCATGAGGTTAATTCCTCTACCTGAGTCTGTTTCAGGGTGGATGCCTTCTTGGGATGAAACATTCTGACTTAAAATTGCCAGGGTTTGAGCTCTTCACTTTTCTTATTTTAGGGACTATAAAGACTTAACCTCCATTCTGGAAAAGCTTAAATGGGTAACTACTATGTAGTAGGACTGGGAATTGGCCTTTTCCTGCAGAGATTGACAATTCATAAAATGTCCCATTCTTTTTCATGGAAAGGTATCTACCCTGTGGAAGGAGAGAAGAATTGCAGTAATGTGAGAACGGTATTCTTTGGGGGGGAAAGCCAGGCTAGAAACCTAAACATTTTGGAAATGTTGAAACCGGGGTGGATGATCTTTTTCTGCAGCCCCCTTTCTCATGGAAAAAACCAGAAAGGATGGGAAAACTGAAATTACCATATATACAATATTTATTTTCAATACTTTATTATTAAGCTTGTGGAAAGCATTATGTGTAACTTGGCATATAAAATTATTGAGTTTTCTACAATTCTTAAATTTTAAGGTACAAATCTCTTATAAGCCCAGTCTTAGAGATGGAGCAGCAGGCTGCTGCACTCTAAAGATATCAGGCATACCTTGGGTTTTACTCAAAGTAGTCCCATTGAAATATATGGACCTAACTTAGTCATGTTTCATTAATTTCAGTGGGTCTACTCTGTTGTTTTGCCCACAGTTGAGAAAATGGAGGGAAGGAGGAGGAAAGGTAAAAGCAGTAGTCATCAATCTTATAGTAGATAAAATGAAGTTTTAATTATTTCGGTTCAGAAACTGTCTCTTCAACCTGCAATATTCAGAAATGGAAGAAATGAGTTACAATCCCCCCCTCTTTTAAACTTCTTCCTACTCTTGTAAAAAGAAGTGTCTCTTTGTTTAACAGAATTGCATTTGAGCTTTACATGTTTACAGTACAGGCATCCTCATGGCTTGCAAGGAGACCCTCCCCAGAGCCCAAAGAGGATGTCTGTAAGGGCAGAGGAAGCTTTGTTTAGGCTGCTCAGCCTCCCTGCCAAACAGCTGCTGTGTGGGGTAGTGCAGCAGCAGCAGCTGCTTTCCTGCACATCCTTCTGCCGACCCCAGAGCTTCAATTTTAGTTGTGGATATTTTTGGATACAGTATTTTTGGTATGGATTGAAGTGAGAGAGGCAGAGAGGGCGTTTAGTGGGCATTTAGTAGGTGTTCCCCACTTAGCTCTATTTCACTTATGCACACAGGGCCATAAGGTAGCCCCCACATAAGTGGGGAGTTGCCTGTATAACCCTTAATGATTTTGCCCCTTGGGTGCCTCACCGTCACTAGATAGCCTTGTGGGCTAGGGACCAGTCCCTATCCTCAGTGCTGCCCTTAAGCGGGCTCCAACCTGCAGGCTCCAGCCTGCCAAAGTTTAGTTCAAATCTATACTGAAAATAGGAGAAGAAAATACTGCCCATTTTCTTGTTAAGAAGAAAAACCTCTCCTCTCCCTTAACTGTTTTATTTTACAACAAATTTCTTTCAGCTGATAACTATGCTTAAAATCTTGTGATTGCTATTAAACTCCTCCCAGCAGATTTGGGTTTCCTCTCTTGCTTTTTTTTAGCTGACACTACTGTAAGTCTTTCAGAATGTCTATTCATACTGTGCTCTGATCGGCAGTCGTAAGATACAGTGTTCATGCATAATGAAATTAATTCCTATTTATCTTTGATAAATGATATGGCAGTAAATGTAGAAAGAGCCAAGGATGGAAAACATCTCACATTCTTAGGCACCAGCATCAAATTTATTGGTGTCCAGTCAAGACATTTTCCCCACCCCTGTGAAGTATGAGTACAGGTATAATTTCTATCCTGTCTTTTATTTTATTTTTATTTTACAGTTTTTGAATTAATTGCTGTTTTGAACAATACAATTAAAGTAACATACTAACAAAATAAAAAGAGTCAAATTAGGAAAGAAGGTCATGGATTATTTTGACCATAAATTGTTAATACAAATATACTGGACTGCTGAGTATGATGCATGCCTAAAAAAAAAAAAAATGACCAAAATGTTCTCTCATTTATTTTCTGTGTTCTCACGTTGGTACCTTATCAGCTCAAATAAGGATAGGGAGTACAAGTTGTTAAATCTATTGTTGTGTTAAAGGTGATGACTTCTTCCAGTGTTCAAGCACATTGAGTTTGGCGGGATCTTACTTTCAATATTTTTTTTAAAAAAAACAGCTTTCTTATTTGTTTTTGAAAAGCTGTATCTGTAAAGATAATTTTGTTCACAGTGTTGAAAATTTCTAGCATTTGACTTCTCATGAAATCATGCTTTGCCACTGATTTCAAATAATGGAATAATAATAAATTATAATAAATTTCTATATTACAGTACGTTGAATGTTGAAACAATATGCTGGTGTTATGTGTGTTCTTAGCTTCTTAAGCGTATTTGCATCATGTGCTTTGTTTTAGGATGTAGATGGAGAAGACAGATTTGCGGAGCTAGACCTCAGGACCGATTCAGACATTCCTGAAGTTGTTCCACCAACAGACCGCACTCCAGAAATTTTTAAGAAAGCTCTTTCTGGCTTGTCTTCCAGGTATGGAAAAATAAAACTGAAAATATTGCTGTAAAATAAATTAAGCAGATTGTATGCAAACTAAAGCTTTGTTCTTGGAATTAGTTGCTTGGAGATGCATTCAGGGAGCCATTTGAATAGAAACAATTATTCTAAAAAATGGTCTATTGTTTTTATCTCATTATCTCTTCCTAGTGTTATGAGTTTATAGGTGCTAGACTTTTTGAACCTCATTGAACCTAGTGGGACTTATTTCTAATTAAAAAGATCACATTGTCAGTGGTGTTCTGACCTGGACATTGAATTTGGTTTCAAACATGAAAAAGTTACATTAGACTCATCAGTATTCTTTTGTTGAGTTGCTGAGTGTTAATGTAGCTTAATACTTAATTTTGTTTCTCTTGTTATGAGGTGGCAGGTAGTTGTAACATTATGGATTTTTTTTCTTTTGCAGATGGAAGAATTGGTGGATTCGTGGGATTTTAACTTTAGCTATGATTGCAGTTTTTTCGCTAATTATTTACATGGGATCATTTATGCTGATGCTGCTTGTAAGTTTCCTGAACTGTTAAAATTTATTTGCTTTGTTTTAGCATAAATGAAAACCAATTTGTTAATCACTTCAGCCTGCCTTTTCTCAATTTGTCCGTTGTGAAACCAGTCTAATTGAGTAGCATAGCCATATAGACTGAAAGTCTCCTTTGCTTTTATAATCCAGCACTACTTGAGGTTTCAATTAAGATATAGAAGCTAGAAACTTGTAGTTGAAATCTGAAATGCCAAGTGAATTCCTGTCTCTCTCTGTTCGTCCCCATTTGGAGCAATATTGAACACAGGCCTTTGTACACAACGTAATGTGCGTTGAGAGTTTCCCTTGATGTTGTATGAACCAGGAAGCCTGTGCACTGAATTTCTGGAGTGCCTATGAGCCTGCTAAAGGCATCTGTGAAATGAGCTATGCCATATCAAAATACTATGACTCACCTAAGATTAGCTTCCAGTTCCAATTATCTAGGAACACCAGCATATGAATATGATGCATTTCTATCCTGTATTAAAATTTGGAATCACATTCACCTTTTACCTTAATTTCAGGTCATGAGCATACAAGTAAAGTGTTTCCATGAAATCATCACTATAGGTTACAGAGTCTATCGTTCTTATGAGTTGCCGTGGTTTCGAACACTGAGCTGGTAAGTAATTTCGGTTCTAGCTGTTTCCAGCCTTTCCCCATTACATCCATAGGGATGACTTTTAGTGGAAGCACAGGCTGAGGATTTACTGACTGCTTCTAACTGCTGGCTTTGTGGTGCTTCACTTCTGTATTTGAATTAAAATAAGTGAGACATCAAATGCTTCAATAATGGACACAGTTAAAAGAAATGTAACAATTTAAAACAATTACTTTTTTGGTATCCCCTGCAAAATACCCCTCCAAATCATGTTGTATCTGCTTGCTTCGACGAGCCTCCATTGGAAGACTCCTAAGTATGCAAAATGTTAGAGTTTTCTTACTTTGATATTTTCATCTTTAAAGATATAGAACGGTATGAAGAGAGAAAAAAGGGGGCTCCGTTCTTAGAAAGTATCTAAAGTTGCTTTATATGTTGCAGGTATTTCTTGCTGTGTGTGAACTACTTCTTTTATGGAGAGACTGTAGCAGATTACTTTGCCACATTTGTTCAAAGAAGAGAGCAACTTCAGTTCCTAATTCGCTATCACCGGTTTATATCTTTTACACTTTATCTGGCAGGTAACTTGGTCCAACTTGTTACTTGCCATTGCAGTTATTTACTACTTGATGTCAGATTCCAGTGTTCTCCCTTTCTGTGCTAATAGACAAAAAGAGAGCGTTCACAGAAATTACAGAATTAACTGTATGCAACCTTTGAAAACCACACTCATGGGTTGCAGTAAACACTGAATAACTTGATAAAGGCATTTTGGCAGTCATCTCCCATGTCATAGCTCCAGAATTATTTTTAATGAATAGCTTCAGTGTTGGATAAGTTTGGGCATTCTTGCATAGAATCTGGAATGGCCTGATCTTGATCTGATCCTGCAAGGCACTTAACGTTGTTAAGCAAGAATGCATAATTAGTATCACTTAACAGCTAATTGTATTGCAACTCTTAAGCAATCCAAAGTGTGTATTCTTGCTTTGAAAATATAATATGCGTTGGTGGGCCATGAAAATTCTAGGTCAAGACTTTCCAACATGCTTTCCAGGTGCTGCAGACTACAGCTCCAACAGTCCCAGTCATGTGGCCCTTGTATAGGAAGCTGTGGGCTGTTTCTGTTTTTTATTGGTAGATTATACAATACCGAGGTTGGGCCATACTTTGTGTAAACCAAATAACACTTCCAGAAGATCCTCTAGATGTTGCCATTCAGGGAAAGGATTTTCACAGCTGTGAAACAATTACTGAGGCTGCACTTTTGTGCCCTCTTTCTTTTAAAACCTACATGTAGATGAGATTATCAAGGGAGTGGTGCTCCTTAATCTAATAATTTGTTGCAAAACACAAGGGAGGGCATATAATGATTATCTCATTGGTATTGCATTTTTAATAAAGGCAGGCACCAGACTGAGTACATGTGACATGCCCAAATTTTGAAATTTGTGCTTAGAAGTTACCAGCCATCTTTTTCGCTTTTGTAAAATAACCTTGCATCAGTGTTCCTTGAAAGCTATTGAGTATGAAAAATGCTCTGTTGGATGCAGACCTTATTATATACAAAAATAACTCGGGGCAGGGTAGATTTTAGTTATGGTTCACATTTTAATGTGAACTTTCTTAATTGGTACGTCCCAAAACAGTATAAAAAGCAAAACACAGCTATTGTTCAAAACTCACAGTTCTCTGAATTTTGTCCTGCGGTTCTCCAAACAAAAAAAAGTACACCAAATATGCTATTAGAGAAATGTGTGCATAAAAATGGATATATTAGTGAAATAACATACAAGAGCACATTATATTAGGGGAAATAAAGATTTATTTAAAAAATTACAAATTGATGCAGAGATATGGCAAACTGAATTTAAGATTTGAAAAATAAGAAACTGAAATTGGCCCGTCCTTAGTAAGAAACCTCACACCCTGCTTGTGTGCAGGAAGTCAGATTTGTAATGATGCATAATACATACACGTTCTCGGGGTAGTACTCACAATTATTGGAGCATGTTCCTATGAGAACCCTGCCAGGCTTCCTCTATACACTGCTTTTTAAGAGAGCATTGAAGGTACTCCTATCCATTAGGCATTTGGCAGTTGGAATATTCAGCTCCTAGGGTGATTTTTCAGGCTTTTAGCTGTTCATATTGTCTTTGTTGGGAGGTTCATGTTGAGTTTTAAGTGCCTTGGGGCTTCTGTTGAAAGGCAATCTATAAATCTTAGGGTTGTTTTTTTTCCAAATCAGTCATTAAAGACTCATCTGCAATTATAATTTTAAATATTTGGCCTCTGAGTACAAAAACTATGCTTACGGTTGAAATGAACAGTGGGAGCTTTGGAAACTGAGTCCTCGCCATCAGTTTCCTTACAATACAGTGGTACGTCTAGTTGCGTCCTGCTCTCGTTACGGACTTTCAGCTTACGAACGCAGGAAACCTGGAAGTGTTTACTTCCGGGTTCACCACGCATGCATGCGCAGAAGCAATCTGCACGCTTCGCACATGCGCAGAAGCGCTCGATCACGCCTCACACATGCGTGGAAGAGGCGCTCTAGTTGCGGACTTTTCAGGGTGCGAACGGCACCCCGAAATGGATTATGTCCGCAACTAGAGGTACCACTGTACCTGTATATAAGAATCTGGACAATCTTGTTCAGTGTACTGCTTAAATTGGCCCTATAATCAGGAGGTACAATGGAAACAATTTTAATCTCTAAAGAAAACAGTAGTATTTACAGTTATAGCATCGAGGTTAAGACTGATACAATTGAAAACCAAAGTGGAGGGGGCAAGCCCTACAATGCTAGCTTCTGTTTACTGAAAGGCTGGAAAACATGCACATGCTTTCTGTTTTTTTGCATAGGTTTCTGTTTGTTTGTATTGAGCTTGGTGAAGAGGCACTATCGCCTGCAATTTTACATGGTGCGTATCAATCCTTTAGCTGCTAAATTTGTTGTCAAAATAATTAGCAATATTAAATGACTTGCTTTTGAAGTTTAATGTCCAAAATAGATTTTAAAGCCTTATGAGTACAAGTTATTAACTTGCACTGTTGATACAAATCTGGATTTGAGATATGGAAGTGATACCTTTGTCAATGACTGTGTTGACATGTTTAGGCTAAATCACAGTTTCGTGTGATATGCATAGGCCAGAATGTGCCCAATGCAGCTTTGGGCTCTCACTCTTCTCCTTTCCCCTTCCCATTTCTCACCCCACATGACTGGGAGGAGGAGTTTGAAAGATTTCACTTCCAGAACAACAAGCTGGTTGACATAACCTGTGGTTAACTGAAAGCAAACTAGCTTCTGAAATGATGGTTTGAAGTAACCATAGTTATATATTAACCATGTTCTGGCTCCAGACGACATAGCTAGCTGTGGTTAACCAAAAGCAGCAGTAGAAGTTTGTGAATTCCCTCTTCCCAGTTGTGTGGGAATAGGACAGGGTGCATACACAAGTTTTTGTTTTGCTTAGGCTCATTTCAGATTGTGCACATGGCCTAGTGGGGTTGAAACCAGCTCAACATGTAATAATTATGGGTTCTTTGTTGAAGACTGTTGCTATAAGGCTTAATTCAATCTGCCAATCTAGACTGACACCACTTTGGAAAAAGTGAATTTGTTATTTTCTGTACCAATCAGCCAGCAAAGCTGTTGGGGTATTCAAAATCTTCAGCATGAATATAAAGAAAATTGTTTGAAATTTAAATGCACATTAAACCTTTAACATTTATGTTCTCACCTCTGCCTAAGTTAACAGTAAGAAACCAAGAATTATTTTAAAATTATTGACTTACCTCAAGGCTGTCAGTATTTTGCATTTTTCTGTGGCTGCACTTTAATCCAACATGTGTTTTTGAATGCCTTTAGTACTGCTTTGTGGAATGGTTGCAGATGTGCTTGCAGTTGTCCTGAGTGATAAAAACACAAAAATGTAGATTTACAAAAGTGCGCACTAGTACTTTGTGCATTCTCAAATATGTACAGTACAAATGTGTATACAGCTAAACCAACTCTTCATCACAGATCAGAACAAGAGACTTTAGAAGTTTGGAAATGTATAGCATCCATGCTGAATGTAAATGTAAATTGAGAGTATCTACTTAGCACACACAAAAAGCACACATCGTAGTACACATATGCAAGTGTCAGAATAGTCATATGGAGAATATTAATCAGTGGGATTCATATTTGAACCAGACATTAACGTCTAGTCCCTCGTAGTCTACCAATTATTAGCTACATTTGAAATGGTAATTTAATTGTATGAAACCTCTCCAGAGTTGCCACATGACAAATCACAATTTGTTTGTAAGAAGGGATTCTTCTTCTTTAGTACGTCTGCAGGTAGTGTAGTTTTGATCCTTTGTTCATCAATAACTTGTAGGAACTAACTTCTGTCTGGACAATTTTTCATCATTATATTGCATGCCATCACCATAACTTTGCCACTAACATCTTTAATGTTCTAATTCTAAATTGTCTTATATGTATATGCAGACTATCCTATTACTTTCCACCTTCGTTTTTCCTCATTCCCATTAAGATACATGGTTAAAAGTATTTTAACTCCCAAATGGAAAAATTATAGGAGTTTTAATAGAAATCTCTTTCTATGTCTTGTCTTCAAAATTAATACAATTAGATTGTGATACTGTTTGTGTACACCTCTAATTTCTTAGAATGTCTGTGCAATTCCTTCAGCTAAACTACCATTTTTATTTAGATGTATTGATCTGTTGTAGTGTCACTAACTGTTGTGTTATTGCACTGTTAACAGTTCGCATGGACTCATGTCACTTTGCTGATCATTGTAACACAATCCCATCTTGTCATCCAAAATCTGTTTGAAGGCATGATCTGGTAAGGGGACAGTAATTCTTGCAAATCTATACATATGTCTCAATTGTTTAAATAGTATGTTTCTAGAGTCTGGTAATTGTTTTCTCTTTCACAAGTTTGTCTGCAGATATTCCATGAGGCCTTGGCTAGGCCTTAAAATATCTGGAATAAACAATAAAATAAGCATGGTTAAAATTCAATTCAAAATTGAAACCTTCACCCTCCGAGTAGTCTTAATATATTGGTCAACACCACTGTAATCTAATTTTCAACTAGCATTAAGGGCTGCTGAATGTAGGTCATAGAAAATAAGTGCCAGTTCTAAATACATTGTCTTGGAGGTCTTGTGGATAACTGCAAAACTTTCTTCCAGAACCTTTAGGATTATGATGAAAGGCCAGAATTAACTATAAGGAATATGGATGAGTATACCTCAAGAAGTCATACAAATGTCTCAGTAAATTTGATTAGCTTTATGCTTAAATCCTGAGTAAATTGCATTGCTGGTGAGGAGTGAGATTGCCCTGTGTTCAGGAAAAGCTTCCCTCTTCCTTACAAATGGGCAAGGACCACGATCCAAAAGATTGTGACACTAGTTCTGTGAACGAAAGGGGACTTCTGGTTGTTCAAGGGGACTTCTGGTTGTTCAACAGCAACCCTCCAAGCTCTGTGGCAAACTGCTTTTGAAACTGAGGGAATTTGTGATATGGAATGAGTGTCAGCAGTTTAAAGAATGATGTTCAATGATTCTACCGGTTAGCACAAGCCTTTGAATGAATTCAGGCAGTTAGTTGATTCCCACTCTGTTTTCCTGTTTTCTATCAGTTGCCAATGACTGAAGTGGAAAGCGGGTCTCTTATTGCAAGAAGAGACCCAAACATAAATTATGAATCTAATTATTTGTGGTGAGGGGTGTTGCTGATGCATAGCCTGGATTTATTTTAATTTACAGGAAGTGTTTTTCTCTTTAAGCATGTGCTCTGTATCCATCTCTTTTCCAGACATATTTTTTCTGATTCATTTCATAACTTTCAAAGTGTTTGGCATATATTTACAGTGTACAGAATTTCCTCATATTGTAGAGCCATCTCAAAGTGATCATTCTGTAAACATTTGCATTTAAATTATTATTATTATTATTATTATTATTATTATTATTATTATTAAAAAAGTATACTGTTGCAGTCCTATGAATTTGCCCATGCAAGTTGACCAGGATTTTTTTTCAAAGTTACTGTTCATAATAATACGTCTGGGTTGACTCTAAACTATAAAACTTTTTTCTTTTTACTGCTCAGGTTTCTTGTTCCTATCTCAAGTGTTGTTTGCAATGATATTGCTGCTTATATCTTTGGATTCTTCTTTGGGAGAACTCCATTAATTAAGGTACAAAATTTGGTTCAGTAAATAATCAAATAACTTTTTATAGGTTTGGCTCATGTTTGGCTTCTATTTACTCTGTGGAAGTTTAACACTTTTGTTATATTCCTTGCTATTTTCTATACTTGAATGTTTCGTTAACTTGTCAGAGGAAAAAATTAGGACTATGGATGGGTCTACAGTGTTGGCTTTTGTTGGTGATCAGAGTGCATTAGTTGTATTTCTGGCACTCTTAACCTCAGGTTTTGACTTCTGGTAAAACATGATCCTAGTCCCCAGTAGCATTAGCATTGTCATAGACACATTTAATCTGGATTAGTAATTTACAGGCTTCTCTTTGAATGTGTCTTTGAAGTCACTGCTGCCCTCAGACACAATCCCACTACCTTATTTGAAAAATAATTGAAAACGGAGGTGTACTTTTGTAAACGGTGAGCATTCTTACCTGTTGTACGCATATCTACACATACTACTCTAGAAGTAGTACAGCACTTGAAAGATGGCTGGAACATTAACTGATTATACTAGATCTAAACAGCATATAAATTCTGCTTATGTTATGTGTGTGTTTTGCTTGGACAGAAATGCAAAAAATGTTGTAACTTCTTCATTTCTCTCTCTGATTAGCTGTCTCCCAAAAAGACCTGGGAAGGCTTCATTGGCGGTTTCTTTAGCACAGTTGTGTTTGGATTCCTTGTAAGTGGATGTGCCCTTCTCATACTAATGTATTGTTCATTGCATTTGAAGCTGGCGTGAAATGCTCTGAAATGTGGCCCGTCTGTTGAAGCTTTCAAGCGTCAGGCTCTTGACAAGTTAAGGCTTGGAATACTACTTTGTGTCTAGAAGTTGTGGGTGGCAGGCTGACTTGCGATTGTAATCAAAATTACAGACAGCTTTCTTTGCTGCAGCAGAAGAGAGCTGGTTGAGTGACAGCATGGCATGTGACTATACCACCTTCCCTAGCCACCAGGGTAGACATATCCTCATTTGGTCCCTGTATAGACCACCCTTCAGTATAAGAATTGTTGGGTGGTATATGAGGACAGTAGTTCTAAAATCACAGAGCAGTAACTCATAAGTCAGCAAAGTCCAGCATTTCACAATAAAGCATCTGTATGCAAAACATTGCTAAATTGTATGCATTTTACAATACAGGGTATTATGCTTATCGGTCATAATGGTCCTCAAAATTATTCACCCTATTAAAACGTGATTTACAGGCTGCTGGTGCTGCCTTTGCAGCAACAGATCTTCAATACCAGGATTCTAATTGGTTTCTACAAGTATTATGAGGTGCCACACTCTCATGTTTTAAAGACAGTAGCAACAAAGTGTGATGCTGGAGAGACCACCTGTCCCCCAGAGTCTTCTCCCCCGTTGAGTAGCTGTTCCTGCTGCTGCTGGGGATGTGGAAACTGGTTTGGTGTGGAGTAAAATTCTTTTACTCCTCCTTGGAAGAAGGAACAGCCTTGGAAAAGGGGGTGGTTTTGCCTGGTTGCATAAATTGGAGCAATACCCATCTGGATGTGAAACCTTGAAAGAGCGACTGCTGCTGGATTTGCCTTCTGTCCTAACAGCAGACAGGACTTTCTTATCCTTTGTCTTGACTAGGGCAGAATGCACTTTTAAGATAATCATTTACCGGGCACTGAAAAGACATCATGTTTGGCACCAGATAAACTTTTCCGGGGAGGTCATCCCACATAAAGGATGCCACAGGTGAGAAAACCCTGTATTCAGTCACCAGCTGCCTGACTTCAGACGGTGGGTAGGGCCTCAGGAGAAGAATGGAGATCTACACATCACCTGGAGTGGCATGGGAACAACCATTCCAACAGTGGCCTCATTTCTGCAGAAAACATTTCAAACGTGCATTAGGTACACAATGGGAGGAGTGAACCATTTTTTCTTGGTGGAGGTAGATATCCTTTTCTGGGATTGTTCTTCCCATTCATTCCAGAAGGTAGGACTTGTTCATATCAGGCTGTTGCTCTGCTCTGCTTGGGAGGAAGCTCCCTTCCCTTTTTTTTTTTCCAGACTGGAGATGAGCTTGGGCAGAACTCCTTTCCTTTGGTTTTCTTTTCTGTGTCTTACTAGTTCTTCCCCTCAGTTTTGAAGCTGTCCAAAGTGGGAGGGGGGCCTCTCTCCCATTCAGAGCATAGCAAAAGCTTGATTTGCCTAAACCAGCGGTTCTCAACCTGTGGGTCCCCAGATGTTGTTGGACTACAACTCCCATCATCCCTGAGCTCTGGTCTTGCTAGCTAGGGGTGATGGGAGTTGTAGTTCAACAGCATTTGGGGAGAAAGGCTGGGACCTAAACCTTGCCTTTTGGATTGAATGGGAGAAGCAACCCAGAGGGAGGCTATCGTCCTACAATGAGCCCACCACAGGTAAGACCAGTGCTCCTTTTTCTTGTATTAAAGAAGTCCAAGATGCCCTCAACTTGTCACAAAGATCTTATGGATGCCTACTGTGCTTTTCAGGTTGCCACCCTTCTGGCTCAATATCAGTATTTTGTATGCCCCGTGGAATACAACAGTGAAACCAACAGATTTGTCACAGAGTGTGAACCGTCAGAACTATTCCAGTTCCAAAAGTACTCCATACCACCTTTGCTTCAGGTTGTGCTGGGAAGGGTAAGTAAAGCAAAATCTTTAAGACAAAGCTGAATCTTTCAAAGTTGGCATTCTGAATGAAATGCTTTTTTAAAAGCCCAATTCTCTCTCCCTTCTTCCTTTTGAGTAAGTTAAATAGCAACTGCGTGAGGAGGAGGGAACAAATATCCTTGAGTTGCCTGAAGTGACTCCTGCTTTGTGCTGCTGCTGTGTAGAAATAGGCAGGCCAGGCCAATCCACCTGCCTTCTTCTAATCATTCATTGTCTTCCAGAAGGAAATGGCACCATGTGGTTTGCTCTATACCCACTTTGTGCCTCTCTGCAGAAGATGGCAGCCAGGGAAAACTCCCCCATGTATCTAGACCTAAGGCTGTTTCCCCAACAACCTTTTTCTGATGTCCCTTGCCGGGCCATAACTAGGGAAGAGGGACAGGGAGAAATTAATTTTAAGAAAAGAAGAAAATGAGAGGGAGGCTTTAATTAAAGTGTACAGACCTCTCTGGAACTTTGCTTGAACCCTGACCTCACGCTGGTTTGAGAAGGCTGGATACTCTTCTTTCACTGATGAGGTCAAGATGAAGAAGAGGTAAAGCTGGTCTGGTTTCTTGAGTAAGGTGCCCATCCTTTTAAGCATTTAATGCTCCAGGTTGTCCTTAAGGGGGGGCTGTGGATATGGAGAAAACTTAAGTTTCTTATAAGGAAAATAAGGAAAATTAATGACCATAATTTCTTGTAGGAAACAGTGAATTTGTGCCCGTTCCAGATGCACAGCATTGCTTTGTCAACATTTGCATCCTTAATTGGACCATTCGGAGGCTTCTTTGCAAGTGGATTCAAAAGGGCTTTCAAAATCAAGGTGTGTATGAATCTGGACATATGAATCTTCCCTGTACCGAGACTTCTGTGTCGCTTTTGTAAGTACATGTAGAAATAGAAATCTGCTGCCCCAGTTACCTAGGGGTACCTTTTTAAATTGAAAACATGTTATGGATTAATTGACTAAATATTGCATCTGTAACTTAAATATAATTGATAAATTGATTTAAAAGCAGTTTAGAAATGTTACATTAAATATATAATTAGTATTAATTAGGACAGCTATCTTCAAACAATAAATTGAGTTTCCTTTTTTCTAAAGGATTTTGCTGACACCATTCCTGGCCATGGCGGAATAATGGATCGTTGTGACTGTCAGTATCTGATGTCTACATTTGTTCATGTCTATATCACCAGTTTCATAAGGTATGTTCTCTATTAATAATTCATTGCAGAGAATTGACATGAAGTCGTTACATGAGTCTTCATTTCAGATACTACTGTAACCTGCTCTATGTGTTACTGCCTTTGAAAAGTGCTCAGTCATTTACACTGGCTCATAACAGAAGAGAACTCATTGTCGGGGCTAAGGAAATGGCTCCAAATGGAAGTAATGGATGTAGGTAGCAATGTGAATGGTTGCTTTAACTTAATAGAAGCTTACATTAGATGCATGTCAGGACAGAATTGCTGGTTGCTTGTCCCAGTACTCTACATCGTTCTATGTGTAAAACTTCTCAGAAAGTGCCAGTGGTGATTGGTATCTTCCTTGTTATCTGACATTACTGTTCTGAGTTGCTGGAGACTCAGATGCAAAGGTATAGGTCCATTAATGGGCTTATGCAAGGGGAAAATAATAGGGCCCCAATTCTGTAGTGGTGCAGGGAGCAGCATTTCATATTTCCTCACATGCAGAACTATTTTTTTTAAAAAACAACAACCATTTTTATTGGTTTTTAAACAAAAACCAGTACAAAAAACCATTAAATACTTATCCTGCTGTACTGCAGAACCAGTTTTTGTGACTGGTATGTTATACACCTAATTTTGTTCTGACATTCTTAAATTTCCCTCCCTATAGCAATTAGTGCTTGGGTGGATGTTCATAATGAGGAAATGTGTCTCTCAGTAGATCTAGTTATTCATGTTGAATTTCTGTGACCTCATTAAGGTGTTTGCATATGTTCTGGTTGGCATGCTTTCGATGCTGTACTGTCCCCAGTAGAGCGAAAATTTCATTTGGATGAGCTCTTTATAAGCAAACATTTGATCACAAGTGGCATTGCAGATTGATACCTTGTCTCCTTCAATTTAATTGCCAGAGGCCCCAATCCCAGCAAGCTCCTGCAACAGCTGTTGGTGCTTCAGCCAGAGCAGCAATTAAATGTCTACAAAACTCTGAAGACGCATCTCATTGAAAAGGGGATTCTTCAGCCATCGCTGAGAGGATAGGCAGACCAAACTGTGGACTACAAAGAGAAGTGCAGCTGGAAATGCAGGTTTTGCTTATATGAGCATGACTTGTTGGACCGAAGTCAGACTGTGTGTCTGAAGATATGAATGTTTGTTTACTAAGATTACTGTGAATATCTAGGAGGCCATGCAAGATTTAAGTTCCTTCTAACTGCATGTTTTTGCTGTCTAGTTTAGTTCCTTGGGTTGATGAGACGAGCCTTCTCCCTTGGTTCCCAGCTACAGTTTTTTTAAAAATAACTCTTTTTAAACAACGGTGGGCACACTCCTTCTGGAACAAGAATTCAACGAATGATTGGGAGTATGCAGTTCATCAAAATACATTTTAGTGCAATGATATTAATGACTCCAGCTCAATTAATGACACTTTGCCGTGCTGCATTTTAGCTGACAGTATCACTAAACTTTGACCAAATGGCATCTGTTTTATCCTGTTGCATTACTTCCCCAAAATAGGAAAGGGGCCTGTAATGGAGAAACCCTTACAGGAAAAGCGTGCTTGTAAATGGATGCCTGAGGCTGGTTTTGCTTTTAGTTAAAAAGCCTAAGTAGCAGGTGAAAAATAAAAATAAAGGAATGGCTTCTTGTAAAAGGGAAATGTTCTTTGGGAGGCTGGGGCTCTTCCTCATAGCATCCTAAAGACCAGTTTAAAGCACAAAACGCCTACTTGAGTTGCAGGCCTCTTCTCTACCAGCAAACTCTGTCCAGGGCTTTGGGGTTGAAATGACTGATTAGTCTCTGGAATGTGCTCATTTGTGCCTCCAATGTTTGGACGTGTTAAATAGAAACTCCCCCTTCCTTTATGGTAAGTGCAATACAAGTGCTAACTCAGCAATATTTAGATCACTTTCGTAACAATGTTAGTTGGAGTCGTATGCTGTGAGATGAATCTAGTGCTTCCACCGCTAACGGTGTCTCAAGGGCGTTTAGTCAGTAACAGAGTTGGAGATTACTACTTCTTGCCCTGTGGGGAGGACCAGCACTTCTGTTGATAGATGTGCTCCATATGATTTGCACTTTTGAGATTCCTTACCGAAGTCTGCATGAAATGTGACATTTCTAATATTCAAGGCATGAGTAGCTTTTTAAATGCTTCTGTGTGGTTTCTTTTTATCATGTGATAATAAAAAATATTTTTAAAGCAAATGAAAGTAATAAACCTAAAGCACACGAATGCCAAAAACATGGTATGGTGAGGAGTGATTAAATAGGATTTAAGGCATTAGGAGTGTAATCCTCATGGAAGTTTCTTTCTACAGAAGTCTCACTGAAACAAAGGATATTTGCACAACAGCACATCTCTTTCCATTCATTTCAGTGAGGCTTGTGCAACAGAACCTTCTGGAGGATTCTACCCTATGAACTTGGTGTGAGTGAGTTTTCTTCTGCTGTGAGCTTTCAAGGTTACATATTTCTTGCCCTGCTTGGTGCTGCTTGACTAAACTGTGTAGTGAAACTCAACACGTGTTATTAACGTCTGACTTCTAGAAAAATGAAATCCGTTTACATCATTGTGCTACTTGAGTTCATTGTGTGTTTTGGTTTAGGATGGTATATATCAAATCATTATGACAGAGTGACTGAACAAGCTGGAAACCTTTGATTCTATCAAAATCAATGAAACAACATCACCAGTAATACCTAAATATTTACAGGCTTCTTCTAAAATTACCTTGGTGGTGCAGGAGTAGCTATGGTGTTTGTCCTTTCGATGCTTCTCCTGTGATAATGTAAATTGAAAATAGCATAGGAAATGCTGGAACTGTGGGAAAAGTTGGCCCACTGGGAACTGGAGCAATAACTAGTGTGAGAAGGAGCCGTATTGTAGGTTCCTACCTCTTACTCTGGGGCAGACACACTATGCACTAGCACCCATGATGCCGAGATAACATCAGAAGAGGTGCCTTGAAGCTGGATTAGATATTTCTTTAAAAGAAACAAAACAATGCAGTGACTTCTGTATTTGCCATATCTTGAGATCCTAATGGAACTGAGTACTCTGAAGTACCTTGCAAAGAAAGTTTGGCAACTACCTTCCTCCTAACAAGCTGTTGCTCATACATTTGGCATGATGTCTGGACTCCTGATCATATGGAGTGCCTACATGTGTACAGCTCTGCCTATAGGTATCATTTCAGACACTGGGGTGCACAGCATTCACTGAACGCATGTGGGTAAGGTTTATTTGAAAATATAATTACTTTCCACCATCCAGAATTTTTCCCCATCCAGAATTTATTTGTGGATCAATAACTACTTTTAGAGATCTCAGCTTTCAAACTAATCACAACAATGACCCCATGGGGGTGATGGTTAAGCTCTAAAAAGAGAACAAAATGCAGCTTAAAGCTGAAGAAATGGCCTAGACTTTCAAGTTAAGAAGCATCACTAGGAAAATTTGCACTGAAGTCAGTAGTCACTTGTAGGCCTTTGAAATTTGAGACTTAAATATATTTTTTCTTAGGAAATTTTCTGCCTAATTACTTATTTCATCCTGAAGGTGACTCATATAAAAATGTAAAACTTAACTTTAATGTAAAGGTGTAACTTTTGGGTTACTTTGGTGTACTTTTTATAGCATTTGTATTGAAATAAGACTGTATTTAAGCCATTGAATACAGGAGAAGAGCTGTATCTGCCAGCTCTGTTTGCACTGTTAAGAAACATGTAGAATGTTCGCTGCTCATTAAAAAGTGAAATGCCTCCTGGTCACTTTGGATGTGCTCTTATCACTTTAGAATCTGATTGTTTTTGTTTAGGACACAGTTGAAAAGGTTCTCCCAGTGTGCTTTTCAGGAACAGCCTAAGTATATTAGCAGAAATGACCAGACATACTCAAGGATGCAAAAACCCACACCCATGGCCATCACGGGATATCTGCAGCAGTGCCAAGTCTGGTTGTTGTCATGTAAACTTAAAATAACTGAAGGTTAAAGCTTGCTGAACTGTACCTGGGACAGTAAATTCTTAATGAGCATAATCTTTTCAGGGAAGGTGAAGATGTCTTGCTGCTTTAGCGTTTAAGGGTTTTTTTAAATTACATGCCGGAACATTCTTCTTCAACGATTTTATTAGTTCAAGCAAACTGTGTGATCAAAAGGAAACATCCCCCCTCCCCTATACTTTTTCATTTGCACTTCTCTTGGGTGAGACACTCTGCCTTGTTTAGCAAAACTTTAGAAAATTGTGTGTATATACTGTAAATGTTGAACATTCAATACTGTAAATGTGTATTCAAAATGTTTTAGTTGACCATTTTGTAGAGCTGGGATGGGGAAAATAAAGCCCTGATCAAAACCTTGATATCCTGTCTTTGCTCATGACTTCTTCTTTTTGCAGATGTTTGAAGTTTGCAGATGAGTTTCACTATGTGTTTCCTCAGTTCCTCATGTTCTTTCTATAAGAACATCAGTTTAATTCCCAAAAAAGCTCTAAGTAGTAAACAGATTACTAGCTTTTATTGCTCTTGACAGGAATACATAGATGTTTCAAAAAGGAAAAAGCAGCTAGATTCATCCATACATCAATTTTAAAAAAGCTTCTGTACTCATCTAATGCTAAACAGACCTTAATATGGCAAAATAAAGGTAGCTTGGAGTCATTGTGCTACTGTGCTGTTAAGGAAATACCAAGGTTTGCTTTTAAGTGGTCAATATTGTTAGATATTTGGGGTAAACCCTATAAATTAATAAATGCTAGGATTTTGGGTTGTTTGTGATGTGAAAGGAAAATATAAGCTGCAAGGGGATCCCTGGGCTGCCTTACGCAAACCAGTCTGGCTGGGGGCAGGAGCAGAGCTCAACCAGTGTATCTGAAGAAGTGTGCATGCACATGAAAGCTCATACCAATAACTAACTTAGTTGGTGTCTAAGATGCTACTGGAAGGAATTTTTTTATTTTGTTTCAACTACGGCAGACCAACATGGCTACCTACCTGTAAATAGAGAGCCATTGAGGGTCATCAACAACTTGCCCCAGGTGTGACCAGACTAGAGATTGGGAAGGTTGCCAGGGTAACTGCTGGGGTAGGGCAAGGGGCTTCTGGGAAGAAGGCTGAGATCCATCTTGGCAAGGGTAAAGGAAAGACTGCCTGCACTGCTGTGGACCAGGCTTAAGAACTGGACCCCTCCATGCAGCTGGAAGGTGTAAATAGGCAAACATTCCTGATTTCTTAAAGCACGACAGCCTCCACCGTGTCTTCTATTATCCAAAGGGACACAGACCCTGTGTGGGAGCCTAAGATCCCATACGCTCTTGCCAAGGCTTGGCAAGAAAGAGGGCCGGGCGCCGGGCTTTTGTAACAGTGTGAAGATAGAATAAGTGGGCTTAAAATGACCACTTGGCAAATTGTTGCCATTGTTGCTGCTAGCCCACACTTCATCTTCTAGTTCTGTCTAGTAAAGGACAACACCTCCAGGAGGGTGGACCAAATGCCTGAAGCTATTCCTGCTATTCCCAAGGTGAGAACTGGCACACTAATAATCTGGAAGCACCTGCTGAAGGACACGCCTGCCAAAGGCAGTCTCCAAGCATACATTAAGTCCAGCTTTTAATGCTTCATCAAAGAACTTGGATTGGTCCAAGGTACTGTCTGGCACATGTCTTGAAGAGATGTATTCTTGAGAGTGCAGCATCCCAAGTCAATTGCTAGATCTGTTGCATGGAAAGTTACTGTGATGCCTGGAGTGTTGGTATGACTTAGCAGGCATCTCTGTGCAACATCCCAGCAGTTAGCGTTGGCCAGTCAGGACCAGAATGAGAGAGAGGGCCCTGAGTAAAGATCCTGAAACCAAGGCAGAGTACATTTTGGAAAACCATGCCTCCTTGGCTAGAAAAGAGCCATAAACATGATGGTTGCCCTCTCCTGATACACTGTCTTGAACACTCAAGGAAGCAAAAGAATGGGGGGTGTAATGAGTATGGGTTGCTCGTGCGGAAGTTGCCGCCTCTCCTGGCTTTGTTGCCTTGCTAAACCTTTCAGTCTGGGCAGCCCTTCACTTCGTGGCTGCCTCAGTTGCTAGCAGAATCCGTCAGTGGGCGTTTCTTAAATCTCTTCCAACATAAAAGTTGTTTGACACCCAGTCTCCTCCTACTCTCTCTGCGCGGAAGTCTTCTGCACAGGGAGGGCGTGGGTAGAGGAGGACCCGTGCTCTCCCCGCTGGTGTCCAGTGAAGAGTCCTGGAGCCCTCTCGCCGATTCCCCATCAGCCCCCCTTTATCCCTGGTGTTGCGCTGATTTGCTTCCCCATCTGCGGAGCTGCCTCTCTCCCTGCTGGGCCCTTCTCCAGCATCATTTGAGAGCCTTCCCTCCGCCTCTAGCTCCGATGTCAGTTCCCTGACAGGGGGAAAAGCTTATAGCAAGCCCAGAGGCTATGTCAAATCCAGTCCGTTCAACCCACAAGCTATGAAAACCTGGTATAACACCACCTGAGTTGGTGGTTGACATCAGACACGAGTAAGTCTGTGTGTAGTTTCCTGAACTGACATAGAATTTTCCTGATGACTGTGTTGCTGAGCTGCGATTTCCCTGGGCATCAGGGTCTGTCAACTCAGTCAGTCTGCATCAGTGTAGACTCTGTATACGTGCTCTGCTATCAGAGCCAAGATTCTTCTTCACCCAGGACAACAGAAATGTTGCCTCTGTTGGATGGATTTGAGGTCAGGATTGCCTATATTATTTTTACAATTTACCCTGCCTGTCACATGTGTGAGCAGAACTAAAAAAACTTACAATCAATCAATTAGAGTTTTAAAACAATGCCATGCAACGTTAAACTTTTGAGACTAGGTTGTATAGCCTCTTTATATATTGATCCAGGCTGTGGTGGCAGAATGGATCATTCCCTTTCCCCTCTTCATTAAAAGAATCATGGGATAGACTGCAGACTTAGCATTAAAAGTAGTGTTTACTTACATAAGGTCTTGCACTTGTTTCAGCAATAGCAGTAATGAAAAACAAGGCAGACATTTCTACCTCTAGATTACAAAACACACAGTTGAGTTCAAAAATGGATTCTCTGCTTGAGCAGAGATCAGGTGGCTGTCTCAGAAGCATGGTGAAGGAGAAAAGCAGAGTTCAGAGGCAGAAGGCAGTAGAAAGGATTAAACCCTTGTGTCCTTTTCATAGATTCATGGAGTTGGAACGGACCAAGGGTCATCTAGTCCAACCCCATACAATGTAGAAATCTCAACTAAAGCATCCATGAAAGATGGCCATCTATTTTCCCGCCAGAGAACTAAAGGAAATGATGTCACAGAGAGCTGTCTCTCTAGTAATCTGCAACTCTCTGAATCTTAACCTTTTGACTGTAAATTCTCACAGCCTCCACCTGAAGACTAATGTAGGTATGAATGTGTAACCATGCTGTGATATTTATGTTCTAAATATTGGTCCCTTACCTTTCCTGCCCCGACCTGGCCACAGTGATCCATGCAACGGTCATCTCCAGGCTTGACTACTGTAATTCGCTCTACGCGGGGCTGCCCTTGAAGCTGACCCAGAAACTCCAGAGGGTGCAGAATGCTGCAGCAAGACTCCTCACAGGGTCTCTGCCATGGGAGCATATTCACCCAGTGCTTTTCAAGCTGCACTGGCTCCTGGTGGAGTACAGGGTCAGATTTAAGGTGCTGGTTTTGACCTTTAAAGCCCTTCACGGCCTAGGACCCTCGTACCTACGGGACCGCCTCTCCCAGTATGCCCCATGGAGAGCCTCAAGGTCCATAAATAGCAACACCCTAGTGGTCCGGGCCCTAAGGAAGTTAGATTAGCTTCAACCAGAGCCAGGGCCTTTTCAACACTGGCTCTGGCCTGGTGGAACGCTCTGTCTCATGAGACCAGGGCCCTGCAGGATCTGATTTCTTTCCGCAGGGCCTGCAAGACAGAGTTGTTCCGCCTGGCCTTTGGCTTGGAGCCAATTTGATTCCCTCCCTCTCTTTCTTTTTTCTTTTCCTTCTCCTCCTGCGAGGAGGCTACATTTTAATATTTTAATGTTTCAATATTTTAATGTTGTATTTTAATTTTGTTTTTAAGTTGTAATCATTCAACTTGTTTTTATTATTGCTTGTAAGCCGCTCTGAGCCCGGCCTTGGCTGGGGAGGGCGGGGTATAAATAAAAAATTATTATTATTATTAAAAAATATGTTTAGGAGTACTCTCCTTTTCCTACTCATATTGAAATACTGCCCCTCAATGAGGCCAAATTTAGATTCACAAAATGTTTAGGGCTATGCGTACCCGTGTCCCCCCAGAAAAAAAAGCACTGGTTCTTCCTCATTTTCCCTTCTGAGAAGCACCACAACTATGGAGAGAATCTCTACATCAGACACTTTTTTGAGGTAGAGAAAGGAGGAAGAACGTCATGTCTGTTACCAGATTTCACCAACAAGAGCACTAGAACTTGTTTCTTTAGTTGACGTGTCCTTTTGTAGCAGTGCAACCACACCAAAGTATAAAATCAATCTTGTAGTAAAATGCAAGGACAAAGGCCTGCCATGATTCACGCTACCACATGAAAGACAAGCTTCCTAAAATGTCAATTTTTATTTAAAATAAAAAGTGTACCTAGCCAGAATAGAAGCAGCATTTCAATTAATCTTCTTGCCTCACACCATGAGTGCCATTCTGATTAATTTAAATTGACATGAAAGTCAGCTTTTTCCCCCTAATGCAGAACTTGGAGAACTGCCCGGGGATACTTTTTTTGGCACAAACACTTGACTTACCGTAGTTGTTGAAAGCTGTACATTTACACATATATTTTTTTCTCCCAAAAGAGATATACACAGAATAATTTGGTGGTAAATAGCAAGTATTTATTTGAAATGAAAACAAAACAAAAAGTACCTGAACTATTGCATTTAATCATGTATTGTAATTGTGTTACTCTACCTTTTTGCATTGGAGACAAATATACAATAAACATTCAAATATCACAGATTGCACACTAGATAGTAATTCTTCTGGCCTTTTACATATCCACCAAAAAAAACCCAGAAATTGGAGTCCGCAATATAGTACAAAATTCCACCCCTCCAGTCGTAGCCAGTTATCTTCAATTTACTCCGGTTGCTGTACAAATAAATGGCCATTTACCTAGAGTTTACAAATTAATAACAGGACAAAAAATATACATTGTACTGACACAAAAAGTCAGTTGTGTTAAGTCATGCAACAAGTAACCAAACTTGCTGAAATTAAAAATATTTTCTAAAAACAGTTTTAACTGCATAAATATTTTTTATACACAGTTCACTTACCAAAACAAAAAGGAGTCTTAAATGATACAAAAAAAAAAAAAAAAGGTT